CTGGATCAACTTACCCTGGGGCAAGTTGAGCCACAAGACTCTTTTTTTTTAAAGAAGTAATATTTTCACTGCCCTTGATCAAATATTAATTATTATCATTGCCATTGATAGGAGACATCCTGAATTATAGGTGTGTGTTCACATTTTTACTATGTGTCATTTCTCCTTGCTTAGAGGACAGCATAACTAAAAAATGGCTCAACTTATCCCACTCTCCCCTACCAGTCTCATGTCTTTGCAGCACATATGAAGCTTCAACCGGCAGCTACAGTAGTTAGCTTAGCGTAGCATAGCATCTAGCCAGTCTTCATTCCAAACTGAGGGAATCTTCCCACTAATTTAGCTACAGTAGTTGTTTACCCCTCTTTAGAAGTAGTTTCCTGGCTGCAGCTTCTCAACAATCTCAACAAAAGGCTAGGAAAATCAAAGTCCGGGGGAAGAACAGACAAAGGTCAAAACACAGACTAAGGCTCAGGCTAAGGTACAAAATGCTGGAAAGCTACGGCACGTGGCTTGAAGACAATCAGGCAGCAGACCAACCCAGTCTCACGGCATTTCGTGTTATAGTCACGACATTGACTCGACATTGATTCGTGTTCACCAACACGAGTTCCCCCAGAACAATTTTAAAAGCAATGTATTTCTATTGGTAGTATGTTTCATGCCTGCAACATGTCTTTTTGTCCGGTCGGGTCTTGGAAGACCGGAAGCTGTGGGGTTCATAAAAACATGTTCTTTATACAGTCTATGGTTCTTACTCAATATCAAGCCACGATTATTGTTTTTATTTTTAAATCGAATAATGTCTGACTTTTTTTGCCGTCTGTGAGGAAAATAAATGGGGCTCAGAGCCTCAGAATACTGAAATCTGTATTTTTTCAAATCAGGCTAGATTGGTGAACATGAATCAATAGATTAAATGTCGTGACTATAACAAGAAATGCCGTGAGACTGGGTTGGTCTCGGTTGAGCAGACAGGTGAAAATGGACCGTTTGTATACTAAGGAATTGATTATGGAATGATGAGCAGGTGAGTGGAGAGGAGGAACAGGTGGAGTTAATCTACTGGCAATAAATTGGAGTGGCCTGGTCTGAAAAGAGTTAAAACACAAGCAAAATAATTATAAGTAAAAGAAGGCAAACTCAAAACCATGACAGTCTCGATGTGAATAAACATATTTCAGAAAATGTTTAACTATTGCTTCATAAAACCCCCCCAATAAATAAACTTGAATGTCGGTGCATTCTGTTTCCCAGCCTCTCATATACTGCTCTGCCACTGTATATTAAAGGGACTTCTTTTCCCTCCGCCATTCATGTGGAAAAGGCTTGCACCACCAGCTACCCTTTCTTTTATTCATCGTACTGTAAATAACTCCACTTTATGAAAAGCAGCCAGTGTGACTCACGGATACCTCTCTAACCACAACCCATTATTATTTCATGGCCTTTGAAAGAAGGGTCTATAGCAGGCGCTCTCACACTTTAATGTCGGAGCTCCCTCTGATGTTGTGTAGTACACAGCGGCCCTTGTTGCGCTCCGTATGCGATCCCTCACTTGAATTCACAAACACTTCCAAGTGCATAAATAGCACGAAAGTAGAGTGCCTCGCGAGCTATCTAATGCTCTGGAACGCCATTGCTGAGGAGATAACAGGAGCCTGCCATGGCTGATGCCTGGGACTGTCATTGGGGGGGGAGGAAAGAGAATGTGTCTGTGTGCCTTTATGAAAAACACTGTTGTTCTGACCTCTCATGGGACATCATATGGTAAGGAAAAAGAACATGCATCAGCGTTACGATTAAATGACCAGCGGACATGATTCAAAGGGTCCCACGGTGTCCCAGAGCAGCCTTTGGAACGTGTAGACGGCTCTCGGCATACAGACGAGCTAATGGGCAACCTATTGGTCATGGTAGATGTAGTTTGAATCTCAATGAGGGTGTCAGTGTGCGGCTGCTCCATGACCGACAAGGTGTGGTAGGCCTGCTGGAGTTGATTTAGCCACACGGCCTGTCATAGCGTCAACATCCATCCATCGAAAGGCTAAGAGCCGTTTTTTCTCTTTCTTTTGAAGTGTCAAGAGGAAACTGCCGTCTTGACGGATGGAAAATGGAGGAGGTCTGATGAAATATTTTTCTTTCCCTACATGACGCAGAGCCCTGATGTTAATAAGGCCGATATTTTTTGCATGACAACAGACTTAACAATGTGGTGTGCGCCAAAACCACTTTTGCAGTATGTAGCCCAGAAAATGAAGCCGTTCCTGACAAAAGCCTTTCAGAGGTACACAGCAGTGTATACTGGGACACGCTCGTGCTACATGAAAGCAGTGGGCTTGAATCATACAAAGGCTAAACCCATTACAGGTCCAGAGGGGCGGGCAACGCGGTGCCTCGTCCCGCTCTTCTAAACAAGACTCTAGGTGCTGGAAGCTGGAACAAAGCCTTGTAACATATACATTAAACTTTAATTGTTTTTTTTCCTTTCACATCTCTGAAGCTCCTGAAACGTTAAAAGTGTGCTAGTTTTTCACGGCTGTGCCTTTGTAGAATGTATGTGTAACAGTGGAGGGAAAGAAGGGTACTCTCTGATGCTGGAGGTAGACAGTTGCTTTTCAAATTCCAAGTTTTGGTCCTTTATTTTATTCAGCAGTGAAATGCCATGAATACAGAAAATAATAACGTCTGTTACAATTCTCAACCATGACCTTCTAATGTCAGAGAACCTTTAACGTATGGACACAGTACACAGTAATGAAGAGTATCAAAAAAAGTAGTTGAATCTCGAAAGGAAATGAAAGAAAAACATAAAAGTTTTCACCAATTACATAAACATATGTTTGCTACAGTCCCAATTTACTGTATACATAGGGGGATCATATTCCCAATTATTAGAGAAGGATAGCAGTAGAAAGGATACATGACTCAACTGCCAGACATAATGCTTCATAAAGTATGCACAGAGGTACAAGCAATAAATACACACATTAGGTTAAGCCTTACAGCTACGCAAAGCAGATGCAGAAAAAGCAGGTTTGCTATTCTTAGCGAGCAATGAGAGAGAAACAGTAAAAATTCAGGTAAGTCAGAAAAGAAACACTGAGATTTTTTTTCCTCTTAGAAAAAAGTCTGGTAAATTTATGGGTCCACCAACATTTTTTTACATAAGTATGCACAGTTATCAAAATACAGACAAAATCAACCCAGAAAATCCAGACAATCCTAAAATCTAGTGGAGGAGCAGATCGCAGTTCTGGAGGTCTTTCTGGTATTATGTGCAAGCAACTATTTTAGACATTTTTTTTACTTAATTTATACAAAACCCATGCAAATCTACAGGTAATATGCATTCTGTGGCTGACAGGTTTCATCCCTCCCAAAACAGTATATCTGAGGTAACGCACTCCTATGCATTGTACATTTAGGCCATCGTCCCGATGATTTTTATTATATTATTTTTATTGGTTCTTGTTTCCAGTCCACCAAATGATTTTTAGACATGCATTTTTAAAACACAATATTCCCTTACAGGTAATCTATACATTATCATTCTACAAATGTTTGAGGACAACCTATTACAATGCAAATCTTCCATATCTTGACGCAGGGAATGTAAACGTTGGTTTGAGCCACGTCCTATGAGACAAGCAAAGTGTAACAGCTCTTGTGGCGCTCTAATAACTCGTGCAATCTGTCATAATTGTTCTGAATTTTTGTTGTGCAGAGGTAGAAGCTTTTAGAAAGCCTTTTTGGGTAAGTGGGAGAACCCTTTTTTTGTCTTTTTTTTTTTTTTTTAAAGACGCAGCGTCCTTTTTATTTGGTGTGGTAAGATTATTAAGAACGTCGTCTTCAACTCGTTTTGTTGTCTCCAGCTAAAGTATTGAAGGGATAAGCTTTGTTCCTGGGCCCTCTTGACGTGGTACTGGCATGTGTGTGTGTGTGTGTGTACTTTACATGCTGCGTGTTTGTAGAGTACTGCACGTGTCAGCGTGTTAAGCTCTTACAGCCAATCCCTGGGCTCGGCGCAACACTTGAAAACAAACTATGCACAGTGTTTCCATTTTGGTCATTACAGCACAATGCAAAGCCACTCGCTGGTTCTCTGACAGCATCCTCTGCAGCCGGACCCAACGAGGAGGTGGGCAGACCAAAAGCTCAGGATCTGCGTGTGTGTGTGTGTGTGTGTGTCCGCGCACATGTATGCTAGGCTCTGACAGGGTGTGTGTGTGTGTGGTTGGTTTAGCATTTCTTTATCCCGTACAAGAGGAGGCAGAACTTTGTGTAACTTTGGTTTACTGAAAACAGAAATGACCTTTAAAGCAACAACACTTTTCTAGATGACTGTGAGGGAAATGACGGGATGCACTATATTTCTTTAGTCTCTATAAATACCAAGTGTGTTATAAAAAGCTGGTTACCCATACAGAGTACATCAGTGCCGACACCAGGTGTATCTATATAGTTTAGAAGCTATGAACCACACGATGGGTATTCGATGACGTTAAAGCAAATACCACCTTCACCTTAGATATCCTTTTCTGCAATGGCTATTATTATTTGCTTTCACATGGTAACCAAGCCATTTCCTATCAACTTGAAATTATGACTTATTTGGCTTCACTAGATATTTTTCATGTTTGGTTAGCGATGTTTTCAGTTTTTCGACGCGGCCTCGGAAAACCGCCACGGAAATAAGACGTGACATTATTTTGACAGTCCCACTTAGAACATTACAAATTCACCAGGTTAGAAAAAAATCATGGAAATAAAAAACAAAAAGTGTAATGCGTAACAAAAAGGGAAAGAAACTTCACAACAACACAATGTTTCTGCACTTCCATTGAATACACAAATGTTTTGTTTTGGTCATGATCCACTTTTACAGTTAGCTGCTCTCTACCGGTCACCAACATCGCATCACCTTTTTTTTAGCTACAGTATTTCTGGCAGAAAATCTCCAACGTGGATGCTCTATGAATCAAATTACACATCAAAATCAGCATTTATTCCCCCCTCTCTCTTTCTGTCTCGTGATCATCTTTGTATCGGGCTAAATGAAACAATCCCAGAGGTTATTCGAAGGTAGTTTGCGGAACGAAAGCTTCTCTTTGTACTAGTTTAAAGTCGCAGAAGACGGACCAAGAGGAGTTTGGTGGCTTCTGTTTATAAGCTATTGGCCATTGCTAGTGTTGGCTTTGGTTTCTAGCTGTTGCCTGTGACTGTTTGCAGGTAGACAAAGCTTTAGAACGAGGAGGTAAAGAGGACAGCAAGAGGGAAATTATGCGGAAATGCATCTGTTTTGTAAATGGTGCTTTATACAAACTAGTAATTTTACCCCAACTTAATTTCCAGTTTTTTTTACTTTTAACCACAAACAGATAATAGACTGGAAGCCAACTTTTTTTTTTTCTCTTTTTTTTTTTTGGACAGCTGCAACAACAGTCTTGGATCCGCAGTTTTCCGTTATTTCCGGTGTGATTCAGGGAATGGCATTTACAGTTGGTGGTGTCAGATTTTGAAATTAACCATGGTTAAAAGAAAAAGAAGCTAAAAATAATATACTGTTATTCATAATAGTAGCAACATACAGGCAGTGACACGGATTTCTGAGACTACTCCTGTGCAAATGAAAACAGAGCAACAAGTTGAATTGAACCAGCAATCGTCTCTAGACATGAACAACTACTACGGCGGGGGGGGGGGGTTATTCCACAAACCATCAAACCGTCTTCTGTTTTGGCCGTATAAACTAGGCGCTAGCTTTTTCAACGGAACACTGATTTGTTTTTTTTTCTCCCAGTATCCTTGAGTCATCCTCCTTTGTACTCGTACGTGGCCCACGCACTCTCTAATCGAATTCTCTCTTTCTATCAGACACCCATCTCATGCCTGTCTTGTCCCCGTTCCAAAGGCCCGCGCCAAAAGAGTTCCTTTGGACCAGTCTCCCATCCGGACTGCCATCGGCTCAATAAAGCTCAGACGAGACCCCACGCAGAGAACTGTGCGAGTGGTTTCCGTTACTCTATGTCCAAAGGCAGTCTGTCGTGGCGAGCAACCAGTCGCGGCGGCGCGCGGAGGGCTACTCGGCCAGAAAAACGGCTATCCTAGTCACTCCGGGTCCTCTGATAAGTATCCCTTCTCCAGCTCCCGCGTCGTCCGTCCAGCTCTGGACTGTGATTTTGGCTGTCCGTCACCAGTGGACATCGGACAGTCTCGTCGTCCATGTTGAGCGGCTCTCCTTCACGTGAATCTGATGGCCAACTGATGAACAAGGCAACATAAATGTTATGATTTGGATTCAAAGGTCCTCCCATTATAAGTACTGGTTTTTCATAATATAATTATAGGTCTCAGATATATAACAAGTGTTTGGATCAAACACCACAACAGATCATTTTCAGCATTACCATAATCCCTCTGTTTCAGCCCTGGTTTCAAAAGTGCTGATTCTCGTCTGTTCTTTAGATGAAAATAAGGAGCCCTTCACCCACGCCCTCTGAGAACTTGGTTAAAAAAACAGATGTTTCTCTAGAGGAGATTCCCAGGTGACTTTCAAAAAAAAAAAAAAAAAAAAAAAAAAACAAAAAAAAAAAAACCCCTTGGTTGCTTGATTGGCTAATGGTTACACAAGCAAAAAATCCTTATGACATCATAAAGGGGCCAAAATGTGATCAGCTCATTTTCAGACCAGTTTTTATAGAAATGGATGCAGGACAAAAAGAGAGAGAATGCTTTTTTCCTGAATTATTTTAGAATCTCAATTTACTACAAGGGGACACATGTTGATGGAGAAGACATGAAAAAGCGCATTTGCATAATAGGTGACCTTTAGATTGCACTTTTTTGAACTCACTGGTCATTTATAAATAGCATGCTAATTACTACAGCTGTAGAATAATAGAGAGTAAAGAGACAGAGGATTTCCATGGAGTACTAAGAAATGGTGGTGTTGGTGCCACAAGATAAATAATTTTGTAGTGTCAAAGATGGCACATAACAGGCCGTGACATGCATTATCTTAGTGGAGTAAAAGCATGTTGTTTGCCGAGACGCTAATTGAGCCACATGCTCACGTCTTACTGTAANGGGGGGGACTCATCCTCAACAGCCACTCATGTCAGTGTCAGGGCCAGAGAGGAGAGAAAGGAGCAGGAAAAGGGAAAGTCAATGCTGTCCGGTTACTAAAAGTTGAATGACCTGAGGGAGTGCTACTCTGTCTGGAGCCGGGCACATTTGCTCCACTTCACACCCCATTTAAGAGCGGGGTAAACACGTCCGTACAGATTAACGTATGGACGCCTAAGAACTAACCAAACACTCTACAGACTCACTTCATGGAGCCCGAGTGCATCCTTTCTCCATTACGGGAGTGGTTAGCCTGACTTTGCAACATGAGCTGTGATGGACAGTGGCTGAGAATCCCTAATGTGTAACTTCTGTTTGTCTCAGAGTGTGTGTGTGTGTGTGTGTGTGTGTGTGTGTGTTTCCCTGCATGCTGCTTTCAGACCTGTGCGACATCACAGTCTCAGACATTTCCTAAAAACACTCTCTTTCTCTCTCAGCTCCATTAAAACAGAGATGGGAAAAGGAGGGATTTTTTTTAAAGTAATTACACTAGCTCATTATTAATAGGAACAGTCTTGCATAAAATATGGAAGCTAAACCCTTATAATGCACACAGTGGTGTAATTAAAGATGGATGTGTAATAGAGCCTATTCATAGACTAAGAACTAACTGTTATCCCAAACGTCAGGCTCTCCTCAGGTATTAGCACGGTGCCATTGAAATTAGCACAGCAGAGACCGGAGGGGGGGGGGGGTGGCTGTGATAGGACTCACACAGGAAACTGAACCTTGCCCCGGGGTCATGGCATACAGAGGAACACTCTGGTACTGTGGGTTAACTATCAGGCAATTAAACTAACAAAGGGCACGAGGACATCGAGTGGATTCAGTGCAGGAGGAGGGGGGGGGGAACATGTGCTCGCATTCTCAGAGAGGTTTCATAAGAAATGTGATGTGACACAATTATCTCTCAAACACCGCAGTGAGTGAGCAGGGAGGGGTGCTGAGTTTAAAGCATAATGAGTTCTTATTTTCTCTTGACATTTAACCAAAAATCTAATAATATTTAGACCAAATTATATTTTTTGTGTGTGAGAAACAGAACAAAAATGAGCCCGAATTATGATGTGATTTTCATATATGTACTGCATCGTATACAGTATTTGTAGAGTGTGGGGACTCACATGTGTACTGGGGGGGAGTATCCGGGGCTGCCGTGTCCGTTGGTGTCCAGGTGGTCGTAAAGCCCGTTGAGTCCCTCATGGGCGGACTGCAGCAGGGTGGGGGGGCTGCAGCCCAGCATACCTGGGGGGCTGCCGCCCAAAAGTCCTGGTGGGCTTCCGCCCAAAAGTCCTTGACACCCGCCCATCAGCATGGAGGGGTCTCCGCCGAGGAGGCCGTGGCAGCTGCCTCCCATGGGGCCCGTGGAGCCGCTGTTCATGAGGCCGGGGGTCCCCAGCAGGGGCAGGGAGGTCTCTGCCAGGGCAGCCTGCAGGAGGGGAGGGAGATAGTGAGGATTCAAAGGCAGGTAGTTATTGGGACGATGAGGGAATGTTAGATGAGGGAAGACAGGAGGGCGTAACCATGTCAAAAGTGCTAGAAGAGTCCAAGAGTGTAAGGAGGGAGGACGAGTGTGAGAGGAAGAGTGATACAAGGGGAACATGTAGCAGGTGAGAGAGTGAGATTTAACATATAAATGATTAAACACAGATTGTCTCATGCTGAAGTTTTTTATTCAGCTATGTCCCCCACTGTGACACCTTGCTGACAACTCCCTCCCCCCAGCTGCCATGTATATGCCCTTGTGTGGAGTGGCTATTAAAAAAAAAGTCCCCCAAAACTTTACCTCAAAAATAATAAAAACTCCTGACACTTTCGCCTGCCGCGCATTAAAGTTATATACAGTGATTACATTTTTAAAGTTTTCGCCATGAGCACCTCGCCGGCGTACACTATGAAGCCAAATCATTTATGACAGCTTAGATAAATATTAATGCACATGCCCTTGCATTCGCACATGCCACTATCAATCTGGAGTGGCTGCCACAGCTGAAAGGAGGAGGAAAGAGGAGAAAGAAGGAGAGCTGCTTCCTGACTCGACCACAGGGGGGCCGAGTGAGTCTGACAGGAGGGGAGAGGGAGGCGGGAGAGATTACAGAAACCTGAGTTAGGAAAAAAGACTTCCTCTGATATGTGCTAATGTAGGGCCCTATTGTTCACCGCAACCACGCTCATTCAGTCACTCATCAGTCAGGCAGCACTCCGGCCTGTCAGTCAAATAAACAGGCAGCCGGTGAGTCACAGGTTCGTACCTGTAAACTGGCGTTTAGCGCCGATCCATAGCCGAGACTGCAGGGCAGGTTCTTAACAAGTGACGGGCTCCTGGAGACATGAGAGGAAAGAGAATAAACGTACATAATCAATTTCAGCTGAAAATATATGAAATATTGAAACAAATTGCATAGCAGGAAGACTATACTGTACATAACAGACACAGAGGACTGTTTCAAAGAGGACAGAATTGAAGCTTTTTGATTTCCTCTTGATGTGGTTGACCTTCAGATCTGGATCTAAGGGGAGGTGACAGAACGTACCCTGTGATCTTCTGCGACCTGCGTTTCTGGTACTCCATCTCGTCCACCGTCCACACCGCCCCCTTCACGTTCTCCACACGCACAAAGCACTTGTGCAGACTGAGGTTGTGGCGCACAGCGTTCTGCAGAGAGACATGACACGCAGGTCAGAGGGAGGAGGTAAAACCTAATCATATTCATTCATTAACCGTCAAGAAAGAAAGAAAGAAAGAAAGAAGGCTGGGAAATTGATTTTTTTCTGGCATTTTGAAGAAATTCTTAACATTCACGCACCATTGATTTAATTAGTAAAAATTGAGTGAGAGCGAATGCTCTTACAAGTCCTGCACACAGTACATATCAATCAGAGTAAGTAGGCTAAAAGGAGGTAATCAGCATAGCGAATGGCTTATGGTGGTGACAGAAGTGGTAATGCCGGCCTTGATAATGGTGATGTCAGTAACCCTTTCGGCTCCAGAAAAGCATTTCTCTTAATGGACACGTCGCTTTAAAGATGACAGTATCGCAAGAATAAAAAGACACTCATCAGGAGGCCCCTGCGTCAGGAAAGGGTGTGTGCATGTAAGAGTGAGGAAGATTAAGGTATCTGACATCTATATGTCCAAATATCCTGTCAAATGTGGCGTTGCATACACGCTTACATGACACAATTATCTTTTCAATGTATTATCAAAGCTGTGTTTAAATTAAAACATGATATATCTTTCATAATGTTACCGTAAGGTGTTTTCATTAGTGGCAAAATAAGAGAAAAAGCCCTATTTTATTAATTCCACCATATGACCGTAATTAAAACATGCATCAGAGTCTACACATAATAACCTAGGCTTTAATATCCCTGCTTCTCATATTTATCATGTCCCTTCTCTCGGTGTGTACTGCTCTTTCTCCAAGAAGAAGGGCTTCAAAAAAAAAAAAAAACTCATAAGCAGATCTCGCATCTGACCTGAAAATCCCAGGATTTGATTGATCTTAATGCCCATGGCTCTGAATATGATAATTTTAATATTAATGAGCAAATGAGCAGTTTTATTATGCATGCTATATAGTTAGAACTAATAAGCTTCTGGGTGAGGGAGAAAGAGAGAGGGGAAAGTGGGATGGGGGGGGTAGATCCTTCTTTTGAGCTGATGAGAAGACGCTGAGATATTAAACTACCTTTCATTTCTTTCTTTTCGCTATAAAAAAAACAAATTCTCTCTGTTAATCAAATGACAAGCCCAGCGCTGATCATCCCACTAATGCTTACAAAGGGGATTGTGGATGTAAATAGATCACATTGGTTATTATGTGTGGCCGGCAGACTAGATTTTTTAAATGTCATTGTGATATCATTGCTATTAAATCAGTTTTTTTCAGGAAATACAGAAAAACATTTAAACCAAAGTTGTTTTTCTGCCTCTGAGAACACATCTTGTCATAACATTATCACACAGCAAAACCTCACTGTACCTAACAAACTGGAAAAGGGTACCGAGCTTTTTCGCGTGCCCTCCTGAATTGGTGATCACACGCCCATGTGCTCATTTGCATCCCAAATCCAAATTAATTCACTTTTGCTAAATCTAGTGCTGTGCCACGTCTTGCATGCTGATGAGCGGCTGGGCCAGGCTTCCCTCCAGTGCAGCCACAAAGGCTAAAGGCGGCTAACGAACGACGGGCAGGGGCCACGGGATAAAAACACTGGCGCTCAGCGGGGGCTTTCTTTATCAGCCGGCAGACACACTTCTGGTTCAAACGAAGTGTGCTGCGGGGAAGACATTTTTCACCATCTTTGTGCAGGCAGACAGGACAATAAAGTTGCACGGACAGATATACAAATGGGCCCCTTTGTGTGGGTAAATAAAGAGTGCTACCTCCATGACAGGCCAATTCTCACTTTCCCCCCTGCTTTAGTTCCACACCCTTAACCCCTCTTTTAGACACACTTTATGTGGACACGAGGCCTTCCCCCGCGCGCAGCTGAGAGCTGGTTAACAGCCATCTTTCTTTCCTAATTAACCAATGATATGCGAGAGAAGGTGGTTTCAGGAGTAGGAGGTGGGGTGTCTGTTTTAACAAAAGGTGCTGATGATGGAGTGGCTGCTGTATAATTAGTGCCTCACAGCCCTCTCCTCTCCTCGGCAAGCCTCCGCTATTAATTGCGGCAAATTAGAAAAACGATATCCGAGGCAGCGTGATTTTTTTTCCCCTTTCAAATAGAAAAGGCGGACAAAATAAATAAGAGGAAGAAAGGGGAGAGAGAGTGCTAATCTTTGGGTAAATATGTGCTTTCTTCTGGTTTTTTGACTCCAGCGAGGTGAAGGGTGGGGGCTACGTAGAGGGGGCGG